CGCCGGTGACTGAGCGGCCGTCGGGCCGGGGCGCGGGGCCCCCGTCCGCGTTCGCCATGGCGGAGAACTGGAAGAACTGCTTCGAGGAGGAGCTCATCTGCCCCATCTGCTTGCACGTCTTCGTGGAGCCCGTGCAGCTGCCCTGCAAGCACAACTTCTGCCGCGGCTGCATTGGCGAGGCGTGGGCCAAGGACAGCGGCCTCGTGCGCTGCCCGGAGTGCAACCAGGCCTACAACCAGAAGCCCGGGCTGGAGAAGAACCTGAAGCTCACCAACATCGTGGAGAAGTTCAACGCGCTGCACGTGGAGAAGCCCCCGGCGGCGCTGCACTGCGTCTTCTGCCGCCGCGGGCCCCCGCTGCCCGCGCAGAAGGTCTGCCTGCGCTGCGAGGCGCCCTGCTGCCAGTCCCACGTGCAGACGCACCTGCAGCAGCCCTCCACCGCCCGCGGGCACCTCCTGGTGGAGGCGGACGACGTGCGGGCCTGGAGCTGCCCGCAGCACAACGCCTACCGCCTGTACCACTGCGAGGCCGAGCAGGTGGCCGTGTGCCAGTACTGCTGCTACTACAGCGGCGCGCATCAGGGACACTCGGTCTGCGACGTGGAGATCCGGAGGAACGAGATCCGGGCAAGTACCCCGCACATGCTCCGCGTGCGCACACGCTCCCGCTTGACCCCGACCCCGACCCCGGCCCTGGGGACACCCGTCCCGACTGGCTGACCCTCGGGACATCAGGCTGGAGGCCCCCTTAACTCTGCTCTGGAAGTTCGGGGTAAGGTCCAGGGAAGAATGGGCCCAGATCGCTTCTGAGCCTGTTCCAGCACCTGTCCCCCTGGTCCCTCCTGGGAGCCCTTTCGGGAGGGGGGCGGGGAGCATCATCGGAGGTGCTTTGGGTGTCCCTTCTCCGCCTCGCTCAGCTCCCTCCCCCAGCGTTGTTTCCGTGAGCCCTGAGGGAAGTCACCGAGGCACTGACCCCGGTGCCGGTCCTCCAGCTGCTGTTTATGTAATGAGTGGCCTGGTGGGGCTGCTGTGGCCGACCCGATCCGTGGTGCTGGCATACCAATGAGGAAGTAAACAAAAGCAGCCGTGTCCGCATTAAGCTCTACTAGAAACGCACGGGGGCAGGGGCAGCCTCTGGAAGGAGCGCCCAGCTTCTGCTGTCTGTTGGGGCCCGGCCCGGCCAGCCGGAGCTCCGGTTTGTGGGTTAGTCTCGGGAGCCCACTCCGTGTTCCTAGTGAGCAAACCTTAGGAGTAGGAATCCTCCTCACCCGGAGTCCGCGCTCCCAGCCCGGCCCGGCCGGGCCCGGCGGCGCGCAGCCCTCCTCCGTTTGAGCAGGGAGGAGGAAGAGGCCTATGGGTTTAAGGTGGAGCTGCCTTGCAGTCCGGTTCCAGGCAGCTGGCTCCCCTGGGCGGCCGGCCGAGTGACGCTGGAACCGCACCCCCTCCCTTTGTATACACCCTGCAGCGCAGCCAATGTCAAATCCGCCTTCCCCCTCAGGCCCCAGGGCCTGGCTTAGAGCTGGGCGAGGCCATACTTCCGCGCCCCCCCCCTTCTTTTCTCTTTCTCTCCCTTTTTTTTTGAGACAGAGTCGTGTTGTGTAAATCGTGCTGGCCTTGAGCTCACTGTGTAGCCCAGGCTGGCCTTGAACTTGCAGCAGTCCCCCTGCCTCAGCCTCCTGGCCCCCCCTTTTGGTGGAGGGCCCTTCCTAGGTCCCTCCCCAGTCCTGGCCCTCAGGCTGAGTCACACCAGAAGGAAGGGGTTGGCCTGAGACCAAGTGAGTGAGCCATCCCTGGAGTCCCAGTTTAGGGCCTGGGTGTGACTGGGGCCAGGGTTGGGCTGGGAGAGACTGAGTGTTTATGGGTGGGGGACCCTGGAGGCTGGTCAGGGCCAGTGCGAGGCCTGAGTATGAGGAAGCTCTGCACAGGGCACTGTGGAGATAGGGGCTGTTTCCTGGGGGGACCAGCCAACAGTGAGTCACTGTTTAGCAATTAAACATACATCCACAACCAACAAAAGGTTGGAGGGCCACCACAGGCTGTGGGCAGGGCTAACAAATACAGCTTGCTGTATAATTAGTTTGCAGTCTGATGGGCCAGCTCTGGGGTTCCGTGCCAGGACAGGCCTCTGGCTTCTTAACGGAAGTGGGGGGTGGAGAGGAGCCGCTGCTTCCGTGTCGCCCTCCAGCCTCTCCGCAGTGGTGGGAAGCTGCTGGGTGGAGGAGGCGGCCCAGCTAGTTCTCAGTCCGGGATTGGCGTGGGAAGTGAGGGGGGAAGGAGATGTGGCCGGAAGGAGCAGGAGCGGACCGCGCCGGCTGCTCTTCGCTCTTGAGCTGTGCTTTGCTCCGCTGAGTGCTGGAGATGTGTGTAGTGACCTGTCCCCGTCTCCACTTGCCCTCAAGGAGCCTGTCTCCTGCCTGCAGTGTTCGGGGCTGGGGTGGCGCTTGGGGAGTATACCCAGGGGTTCGGGTCCGCAGGCCCCAGTCTCACCTGCAGGTCCGGGTGGAAACAGCCCCCGAACTTCGCCAGCAACTTCATCCATGTGTGCGCGTGCGCGTGCCTGGTGCGCGGGCTGCGTGGTGGGTTCATCCGGGCCAGATACGCGGTTCTGTGTGCTCTGCACCTGCGCCCATCCGTGGCGGTCTGGGTCTCGCCGTCCTTCAGGCTCTGGACCCTGCCATTCTCTCCGGTGCCCCAGGGCCCTGGGAGTTGGAAGCCCCTCGCTAGCTCACTGTCACTCCAGTGAGTTTGGCTTATTGCTGAGGAGGCACAGGGGCTGCCACGGGGGAGAGAGTGAGCCTGGCCTGGGCAGTCAGGAGCCCAGGCTCTCTCCAGGCTGTGCAGGGGAAGGGCCTTGGCCTTGGCCCTGGCCCCCAGCCCTTGCTAGAGGGAGTCTGTCTTCGGGGGCCTTAGCTGCTGCCCTGGATGAGGGCAGTGGACTGCTCCAGAGCAGCAGTACAGCACGGAGACCAGGCGTAGGCCTTCAAGTCTAGGTCAGTTTCCCTGCCCTCCCAGGGGCTGTGGATGGGCTGCATCCATTGGCCAGAAACCCCCTTCCTGGGCTCAGACCCACAAACTTGTGTACTTAAGTCATTGGCCTAGAGGGCAGGGGCCGACACTAGGAGGGCAGACCGGTCTCCGCCCTGCCTCTGCAGGCTGGGGTGCTGCCCCGGGGAAACCAGCATGTTAGCACATGGCTTGAACCCTGATGGGCCTAAAACTGCTCTTTGGGACATGCCTAGACCCTCTGTGAGTTTTACCCCATGGGGCTGAGGGGGACCTAGGGCCCAGGATTGGGGTGTCCAGGTAGGCTGAGGCCTGGTAGCCCCGGACAGGCAAGCCCTCTTCTAGTCCCCAGGGTCAGGGATTCTTCTGAGTTACAGGGAAAGGGTCCTGGAGAAGCGGTGCGTGCACTGGGTCGGTCTAAGTGTGCCGCTGTGTCATCTCTCGGACCCCAGGTCAGGGTGGAAGTGTTGCCGGGACCCCATTCCTGGCATCCTCCCAGGTGCAGCTTTGGAGAGGTGCTTACTGCCCACAAGATCACATGCTTGGGCCAGTGTGGGGTTTGTGGCCTCCTGAGGCAAGCGCACCCGGCTCGCCCTGGCGGAATCTGGGCCTCTCCCTCTGCCTGAGTTGAAGCTGAGGCCCGATCTGTGGGGTAGGGAGTGGCCGTGCAGACCTGGACTCCTAACGTCTCAGCCGGGCTAGGAATGTGAGTGTGTGTGTGTGTGTGTGTGTGTGTGTGTGTGTGACAGAGGGAGGGAGGGAGGGAGAGGAGAGAGGAGAGAGCAATACAAGGAGTCTGAGGATGGGGCCTGGCTTTGGCCCTCCGTGGACCCACAGAGCGGCCTCTGGCAGAGGCCCTGCCTCGCCTCCTTCCCTCCACCCTCAGACACAGCGGGAGCCCGTCACACTGCCCTGCTGCTGGCTGTGCCTCCTGCAGCTCCAGGGGCTCTGTCTTGGGGGGGGGTGCCTCACATGTGACTCAGTTTCTCCCTTGCACAAACATCTTTGCAAAGGCATATGCGTGTGCCCGGCCGGTTCCACGGCGGCTCTGCCCGTGTGCGCGGCGGCCGTGCTGCCCAGGCACCTGCACGGGGAAGCTGACTGCGGCTTCACTTCTGTCGCTGTGACTGCCACCGGGTGAGCTGCTGTAGCGAGAGCCTGCTCAGGTCGGGGTGCGGGGACTGGGGGGGAGCCCCTTCCTCTCGAGGTGGGGTGTTGAGGTGGGGCTCCCCACAGGGTGGACTGTGGCCTGTGCTGGGTATCTGCCTGGCAGCGCTGTGGGGGGCCCCCTGCCCTGAGCCCAGCCGGGCTGACCGGGTCCCTGGCCCTGAGAACCCTTCCTCCCCGGCTGGCCTGGCATTCAAGCCCAGACAAAGGGGGGCTTTCTCTCGCGCCTCTTTGTTCTGCTGCCCCAGAGCGCTGCTCTCTGCATGGCAAAAGCTAATTCTACTCTGCAGCTGGGAAGCCAGGGGTGGGGGCCGCTCTGCCGAGCCCTGCCCGCTACCCTGTCACCACTGCTCGGCTGACACTCCCACCAGGGTTTGCGTGGCACCCCAAGGCAGCAAAACGGGGTGCGGGTGGGGAGAGAAGGGGAGAGTGGCGTGGGCCTTGAGCTCCTGGGACCAGGCCTAGGGGCAGCTCCCCATGGGCCTGGGCCAGAGCTGGAGGGGGCAGAGGCCAGAAGTCCAGCCCCTTCTCGCCGCCACGGCTGCCCGTCCTGGGGGCTGCCTGCACCTCAGCCTTGAGCCTGCTCCGTCCCAGCCTTGCCTCTCTGCAAGATTGACTTGCGGGTTTTATTATTATTTATTAACTCGCACAGCCCCGAGTCCCCATGCCTCATCTGCCAGCCCGGGCCAGTCTGGCAGCAAAAATGCCATGGGGCCTGGCCCGACAGGCTGCACAGAGGGCTGAGGTTTGTCAGGGTGAGAGTGGAGGGGCTTAGGGGTCCCCCTGTCCAGGCTGGGAGGGCCTGAAGGGAGCCGCTCTAGGACAGTCGCGGAGCAGAGCCCCAGGCCCAGGCGGATTGGGACGGATGCTTTTGTCCCACAGGCCCAGGAGCAGGCCCCAGAAAGGCCTGAGGTCCGGAGGGGCGGGTCCTGAGCACTGCCTCGAGGCAGCAGCCCCTGGGTGCTCCACCCCCACACACTTGAGGTGTGGCTTGGCCCAGGGGGCTCCCTGGGGCTGGGAAGTCTGCAGAGCCCTCCCTCCAGTCCCATCCCATGCAGAAGCCTACATAGGAATGGGGAACTGGGAAACGTGCGCCCACCACAGCAGCGGGCGTTTGTCCCAGGTGAATTTCCTGGGACGGCGGGTGGGGATTGGGAAAGGAGGATGCGGGGCTTGCTTCTGGCTCCTGGAGGCCTCTGGCGTTGATGCCACTCTGGGGTACAGAAAGGGCAGCACCTCCCCTTTCCCTGCTGCTAGAGGTAGCAGCACCTTCCCCTGCCCCAAGCAGGCCACAGCGGGACTGAGGTCACCTGTCTCGTGAGGGCAGTGAGCCTGGCCAGCTCTGCTTCCCGCCCTCTCCCCGGTCCCCGAAGCAGAGGGCAGCTCTGTGGTCTCAAGGTGGGAGGGGGAGATGAGGCCTCGCCACCGGCTAGGGAGTGTGGCCGCCATCTTTGCAGGACCCTCGGAGGGCCCTGGGCCCTGCGGTGAAGGAGACACCTCAGGCTCCCAGGGTAGAAGCACTGGCTGCCGGGGCGGGCCCAGCAGTGCCTGGAAGAAGGAAGGCCCTGAGGCGCACAACCCTTGGAGGCCTCAGCGGGAGATGGGGACAGGGCTGCCGCTGGCCTGCAGAGTGGAAGTGGGCTGGGAACCCGGGCCCCACCTGTGTGGCCCCTCACCTGGGACTCAGCTCAGCACCTCTAGTCTGTACTAATGGGTATGTTGTCAAGAAATAGTTGGGCAGGGAGACCACAGTACAAGGGGGGGGGTGAACGGGGGCTGGGCGCTGGGACAGTACGCGTGCCCTGGACTCTGAGGTGTCCCGGGGCCCTTGTCCTCCTGAGCGTGAGTGGGCGTGGGGCAGCAAGCAGTCAAGTGTTTGAGGACAGCCTGGTGTAGTGGTGCACACCTATAATCCTAGCACTCAGGAGGCTGAGGCAGGAAGATTGCTGAAAGTTTGAGCCCAGCTTGCACTGCATAGCAAGACCCTGTCTCAAAAAAACCAACAAAAACAGTTTGACGAGGGTTGTTACAGGGCAGGGGTGGGCACGAAGGCCTGGGGTCTAAAGGCGTGTCCTGGGGCCTTCCCTTAACCGTCCTGCGCTGGTCACTGAAAGGTAGAGCTGAGCTTGGGGCCAAGGTTTCCCCAGCTTAGAACAAGAGCCCTGCCCGACCCTCCGCTGCTCCCGGCATCTCAGCATCCCAGCATTCCAGTCTTTGTTTCTGGGGCAGCTAACTGCATGATGTGGGCTCTGGCTGAAGTCTTGCTGGCCTTAATGGCTCTGTCTGTAAAATGGGTTTGGAGCATGAGGAAGGAACTGTTGGCAGCTTGGCTTGGGAAGCCAGCCCACTGAGGCTAGGAGCAGGGGTCATGGCTCAGCCTCACAGGTCACTCTGAGACCCCCACAGGGAGCAGGAGAGCCGCCCGCTGCCGAGGGGACACTTGCTGAGGGTGAATGAGCGAGGGCCGGTACAGGCCTGCTCTGCACACCTCCCCGACACAGAGGCCGTGGGTCTGCTCAGGGTGTCATCCGCTCACTGAGGTCTGGCTGTGAAGGGCAGTGGGAGAAACAGTGACCAGGCCCACACCAAGAGGCCTTGTACCTGGGGAGCGGTCACACTGTGGTGCTGAGGCCACCAGAAGGCTCTGGCACGCAGCTGCCACTTAGCGGGCGGTGCAGCGCCACACATCCACGACCTCTTATGCCAGCCACGTAGAGCTACTGAGCACCAAAGTCAAGGAAGGTGCAACTGAGGAACTGACGTTTAAGTTCATCTTAGTTTTAATTAATGTAAGGTTAAATAGCTGCTTGTTTTGTTTTGTTGTCTTGTTTGTACCAGGATTTGAACTCAGGACCTTGCCAGGCAGGCGCTGTGTCACTGGGTTGTATCCCAGGCCTACCCGCCTGTGACTAGTGACTGCTCTACGGGACGGCACAGAGGGAGGGCGGGCAGGTGACAGCCCACCTCGGCCAGGACAGGCAGGGTGGTGCAGACTTGAAACGGGGTCATGGAGAGTTTCCCAGGCTTAGGCCTTGAGAGGAGGGGGCTCTGGGGGCAGAACAACATCCACAGAGCGCTGGGAGCTCAGATGCCTGCACACGGGCGACACACATCCGCCGTCTGGCTGGAGGCGTCAGTGGGAAGGGGCTGTGCTGAGGTCCTCGAAAGCAGGGTGCTCTGGAGGGCTCTCAGCGAGGGAGCGACCCTGTTGGAAGAGGTGTGCAGGGGAGGGCAGGACAGGAGAGTGGGAGCTGTGGGCCTGGGCGGGCAGCCGGGGAGGGCGGCTGTGGGACGGGAGACAGGAGCGGAGACCAGCTTGCTCTGACGCCTTCTAGGAGACTGGCTCGGGTCTTAGGAGAGTGAGCGCTGCTTTCTGCCTGCGTCCCGCTAAGCGGGCAGGAAAGGACTCCAGGGCAAGACACAGCCTTGAGACGCCTTTGGGCTGAGCGCAAGGCCTGTGTTACTGGGAGAATTATTAGACGCTCTGCTCTCGGGGCTCTCCCCTGTCAGGTGGTCCTGGGGACAGCATGGCATGGTTAAGAACAGGGCATGTGGAGTTTAATTCCCGGTACCAAAAAAAAAAAGAAAGAAAGAAAAAGAACAGATCGCCTCGGTCTGGGCCATTTGTTTGCTGTGTGACTCTACAAGTTGCTCAGCCACTCTGGGCTTCCATTTCCTCTTCTGTGAAATGAGGATCATAGCAGAACTTACTGTGATGTGTTGCTGGGATGGTAAGTCTGTCTAGGAAAAGGGTGTAGAACACAGGCTGCCTAAGCCTGCCCTCAGAAGGGTTTAAACATGCTGGGAATAGGTGGGCCCAGCGGGCCTTGAGATACCAGCGGGCCCTGAGGTTGCACAGGGCCAAAGGGGCTGGCTGGGTTAAGCGACCTCGCGGCTGAGTCACTTGTATGGGGTGTCCAGCCCCCCTGGGGAAGGGTCCGTGTGGCCGGTGCCCTGACGGCCCTGCCCCTCCTGTCCCTGCAGAAGATGCTGATGAAGCAGCAGGACCGGCTGGAGGAGCGGGAGCAGGACATCGAGGACCAGCTCTACAAGCTTGAGTCTGACAAGCGGCTGGTGGAGGTAGTGAGGGCCGGAGCCCCAGGCGGGGTGTGTGTGTGCGCATGCGTGCGTGATGGCTGTGTGTTACTCTGACCTTCAGAGGATGAGCCCCTGCTGCGGGGCCCAGACCGCGCTCACCTGCTCCTGGCCCGCCGCCCGCAGGAGAAGGTGAGCCAGCTGAAGGAGGAGGTGCGGCTGCAGTACGAGAAGCTGCACCAGCTGCTGGATGAAGACCTGCGGCAGACGGTGGAGGTGCTGGACAAGGCCCAGGCCAAGTTCTGCAGCGAGAACGCGGCGCAGGCGCTGCAGCTGGGCGAGCGCATGCAGGAGGCCAAGAAGCTGCTCGGCTCCCTGCAGCTGCTCTTCGACAAGACGGAGGACGTGAGCTTCATGAAGGTGGGTGGTGGCCAGCCACTCCCAGCGGGCACTGCGTCTAGCCCCGGTGTGCCCACCTCCGCCCTGCGCAGCCCGGCGAGCTGCAGGTGCTCCCTGCACCCCCCCCCCGACCTATAAAATGGGGCTGACAGTGCAGAGCTGCTGTCCTTTATTATTCAAGGCTTCACAGTGTCTGGACGCTAGCAGAAACTCTGGACGACTCAATTCACAGCAAAAACTGCCCAGAATTAAGGGTACTTGGCTTATGGGCTTCCGCATCTCGTTGGTATGAAAATGCAAACGTTTTGCTGCGGAAGTGTTTGTGGATCCCGGTGCAGTGTCCTGCTGGGGTGATAAGTAATAAAATGCTGTAGGCACATTTCCCTTCTAAAATCTTAAAACATTTCAAGCGTCAAAACATACTTAGCCAGGGGGCTGGGGATTTAGCTCAGTGGCAAAGTGCCTGCCTGGCAAGTACAAGGTCGTGAGTTCGGTTCCCAGTACCAGAGAAAAAACAAACAAACAAACAAAAAAACATACCTAGCCAGGCGTGGTGGCACACTCCTGTAATCTCAGCACTAGGGAGGCTGAGGCAGGAGGATGGTTGTGAGTTCGAGGCCCGCCTGAACTGCATAGCGAGACCCTGTCTCACAAAACAAAAACAACTCTTCTTCCTGTAAGCAGCCTGAGGTGACCTGTGAAAATGGTTCGCTACTCTCTTGACCCAGGAAATCCCACAAAATCATGCAAATCAAGGGGCTCAAATCTTCGTGTTCACTTTAAGAACACCCATGAAACTGCCTGGGCCATCGAGGGTGTGCATATCAGAAAGGCCACCAAGTGTCTAAAGGATGTCACATTAAAGAAGCAATGTGTGCCATTCCGGTGTTACAGTGGTCCGTTGGTAGTGTGCCCGGGCCAAACAGTGGGGCTGGACACTGGGTCGGTGGCCAAGAAAAAGTGCCGAATTTTTGCTGCACATGCTTAAAAATGCAGAGAGTAGTGCTGAACTCAAGGGTTTAGATGTAGATTCCCTGGTCATTGAGCACATCCAGGTGAACAGAGCACCCTAGGTGCGCCGCCGTACTTACAGAGCTCAGGGCCGGATTGACCCATACGTGAGCTCCCCTGCCACACTGAGATGGTCCTTACTGAAAAGAACAAATTGTTCCTAAACCGGAGGAGGAGGTCGCACAGAAGAAAAAGATACCCCAGAAGAAGCTGAGGAAAGAAAAACTTATGGCACAGGAATAAATTAAGCATAAAATAAACGCAAATAAAAGTAAAAAAAAAACCCACCAACAAAACATAGCTGGCCCCATCGGCTTCAGA